TATCGGGCGCCACCTTGCCTGTTGATGTAGAACATTGAGGCTGTGTTGTCCATGAGGACCTGACTACCTTGCCCTCCAGGTGCGCGCGGAAGGCCATACATGCCAGCCGCACCAACCTGAGCTCCTTGACATTTATATGTAGAGTCAGGTCTTGAGCTGACCACAGGCCTTGGGTCTGAAAGTTCCCCACATGGGCCCCCAAACCAGGTCCGATGCAGCGGACACTAGCTCCAACGATGAGGCCCTGTCCCTGAATGGGACACCTTGGAGTGTGCTGTTTGGGGCGGAACACCACTGTAGGGAGGCGATCACAGAGTCCAGCATGGTGAGGACCTTGTCCATCCTGTCCGTGGCCTGGGAGAACTTTGATGCCAACCATAGCTGGAGGGGCCTCATCCTGAGTCTGGCATGACGGACCATGTACGTGCACGCCGACATGTGACCCAAGAGTTGCCGGCAAACCCTGGCAGTTGTCACCGGGAACCTTGTACCGAGTCGATAAGACCTTTCAGGGTCTCAAATCTGTCTGGCGGTAGAGAGGCCCTGGCTGACACTGCGTCCAGGAACGCCCCGATAAACTCTATGCGTTGGACCGGGACTAACATGGACTTCGTGTTGTTTATCAACTGGCCCAAGGCGGTGCACGTGGACAGGAGGAGCGCCACATGATCCCTCACCTGCAACTGGGAGGTGCCCTTGACAAACCAATCGTCCAGATAGGGAAATATCTGGACCCCCCGCCGTCTGAGGTAGGCCGCTACCACCGACATGCATTTTGTAAACACCCTGGGGGCAGTGGACAGATCAAACGGGAGGACCATGAATTGGTAATGATTCTGTCCCACCATGAAATGGAGGAAGCGCCTGTGCCCCTCGAATATGTGGATGTGGAAGTACGCGTCCTGTAGATTGAGGGCAGCGTACCAGTCCCCGAGATCCAGGGAGGGGATGATGGAGGCCAGGGAGACCATGCAGAACTTGAGCTTCACCATGTACTGGTTCAGACCTCGGAGGTCCAGGATGGGCCTGAGCCCCCCTTTGGCCTTCGGGATAAGGAAATAACAGGAGTAGTACCCCTTACCCATGAACTCTTCGGGCACCACCTCTAACGCTCCTAGTCCTAGTCGAGCAGAACTTTGTACGAGGGGTCCCCCAAGAGGGACAGGAGCGGCGGATGGTTGGGCGGGGAGGGTGTAACCTCGGGAGATGGTGTCGAGGACCCATCGGTCCGAGGTTAGCTGCGACCAGTTCTGGGAGGAAAGCACACAACCGATTGGAGAAGGGAAGCTTTATTGGGGGTGGATCCCTGATGAGGACTGGCGGGGTGCCCCCGAGCGTCCCATCAAAAACGCCTTTTCCCTGCTTGCTTGCCCTGGAGGACCCAGGCTGGGGGGGCAGGCCGAGACTGCCTTCGAGGGCGACTCTTATAGTCCCGCTGCTTCTTATGGGTGGCCTCGTACTTCAGGAGGGCGGCCTGGGTGGGAGTTTGCTGTGGCTTGAACTTAGGTTTTGCCGGAGCCAGGACATAGAGGCCCAGAGTCTGGAGGGTCGTGTGGGAGTCCTTCATGCCACACAGCCTTGTATCTGTTTCCTCCGCAAACAGAGCTTTCCTGTCAAACGGGAGATCCTGCATGGAAGACTGCGCCTCGCTGGACAGCCCAGAGAACAGGAGCCATGACGCCCGTCTCATGGACACCGCGGAGGCCATTGATTGTGCGACCGTGTCCGCACCATCCGAGGCTGCCTGCAGGGATGCCCTAGCGGCTGCTGCCCCTTCCTCCACTAGCGCCTTGAACTCCTTCCTATTGTCTCTGGAGGGAGTCCTCAAACTTAGGCAGAGAGCCCCACACATTGAATTCGTACCGGCCCAGGAGAACCCGATGATTCACTACTCGTAACTGGAAGCTCGAAGATGAATAAATTTTCCTTCCGAAAGAGTCCAGTCTCCGAGTCTTTGTTCTTTGGGGTTGGGGCTGGCTGACCCTGCCATTCCTTGTGGTTGACCGACTCGACCACCCGGGAGTTGGGCGCCGGGTGGGTATACAAGTACTCATGCCGCTTAGTGGGTACAAAGTACTTGCGTTCCACCTTTTTAGAGATGGGGACCAATAAGGCCGGTGTTTCCCACAGGGCATTTGAAAAATTAGCCACCCCTTCATGGAGAGGCAAGGCCACCCTACCCGGTACCGATGGGGACAATACGTTAAACAGGGAGTCCGAGGGCTCCTCCATCTCCTCTGCCTGGAGGTGTAGGCTTGCTGCCACCCTCTTTAACAGTTCTTGGTGGGCCCTGAAGTCCTCCTGCAGGAAGGAGGGGGGTGGGGCCGCAATCGCCTCCTTCGGGCAGAGTGAAGAGGCTGGTGCGGTGCTCTGGGTGTCAGCCAGCACCGGAGGGTCCACCACCTGGTTGGACTCTGGGCATGGTGCCGAGAATGTTATGTCCGACTGACTCCTTTCTCCGGGGTCTGGAGAGGGGGGCCGACGATGCTTCCAAAGCTCCGGCCACCGAGCGAGCTCCCACCGGGGGCTGCGTCGGAGACCAAGGTGCCCACTGGCAGCATTGGGCCGGCCATTACACTCGGTGCCACTGAACCATCAAAGGACTGCTACGAATGGAGACCGGGCTGGTGTAAGATCTGCTGCTGTCTCTGGACTGGAAGGAGTGGCGGTGCCGGGTTCTAAGATGGCCACGAGACCACGATCTCAACGTGGAGGATCGGTACTGACGGTAATAGCTGCTCCGTGAACGGCCTCGACGGGCGGACCTGTGACGGCGAGATGCCAGTGATTGACGCCCGGGGCTGCCATGTCTTGGTGGAGACTTGGAAAGGGTGTCTGAGTGATAACGGTGTCGACGACGGTGCCATGACTGACTGCAGTACCCTCTCCGAGACTAGGACTGACAGCGATGCCCCCCGCAGTCCCGTCGATATTCGCTCCTTGAGGACGAGCGGTGCCATGAGTCCCGGCCGGCCAGGACCCAGCCAGACAGTCTGGTCGGCGTCGATCCACCTGGACTCTGCCTCGAGCGGTTGCTGGGTCGTGATTGGTGTTGGGAACATTCCCTCCACTGAAACCGGAAAACCGGAACCGGGCCGGAGGCGACTGTGGAGATCCCAGTGGCGGCTTGCCTCTGGAGTGCGGGGCCGACACCGCCAGCTCTCCGGACACCAGCATGGACATGACATCCCGGGCTGCCTGGAGGGCTTCAGGTGTGAACGGCATCCAGAGAGGCCTGTCCCGAAGGGGCCGGGCTACTCCGCTCAACTTGAGTTTTAGGCCTGGGGCCCGGTGGGGATCGAGGACTGTCCGACATGGGCCTAGCCTCTGTCCCAGACTTCCCTCGGTGCCGCTGAGAAGAGAGAGTCTTCCTGGCCCTCTTGGCATGCCCCATGGACGGGAAAAGGTACTGGCTTGTCGATGGCACCGGAGGGTCGCCACATACTGACGCCGTGGTGCCAGGTACTGGTTCGGAGCAGAGTGCCAGGGTCGGGGTCTGCGTCGACTCCGTCAGGATGGCCCGGAGCCTAATGTCCCTTTCTCTTTTGGTCCAAGGCTTAAACGACTTGCAAATCTTGCACGTTTCGCTGATATGGGTTACTCCCAAGCAGCGCAAACAGTCTGCGTGCGCATCACTTCTTGGCATAGAACGCCTACAAGAGCCGCACGACTTAAACCATGGGGCGCGGGGCATACCCGGGCCCAGGCTCACTGACTAACTAAACAGCTAACTAACTACAGGTACTAACGTTGAACGAACAAACAGTTCTGGGGATGAGCTATAGCAAAGCTGGAGCAGAGCAGTTCCGACGCACCTTCACTGGTGGCAAGAAGGAACTGAGGGTGGGGGGAGCCCGCAGCTCCCCATATACCGTGCCAGGCAGACGCCACTCCAGAGGTCGCGGGGGCACTCCCCCCCTACGGGTACTGCTAGGGGAAAAACTTGCAACACTGGTGCATGTGGCGAGCACGCACACCTACTGTGGAATACAGATGAGCAATCACTCAAAGAACTGGTTAAAATGTTATCCAGCCTAGTTTCCCAAATATATGCAAAGTCAAGGTCTCATCCACAATCATATCATAGATGGTGCTTTTATGCCAAGAAAAGGAGTGTGATATAAATACCTAGATAAATCAGCAATAGTAACTGATTTATTCTAATTAATGCAAGGTTGCTGGAGATCAAGGAGACTGCCACCTAATATCTTGCACTCCCTAGCACAGACTCCTGTTGAGACTGAGGGCTTGTCTATACTTACCGCGCTGGTTCGGCGGCAGGCAATCGAACTTCTGGGTTCGATTTATCGCGTCTTGTCTGGACGCGATAAATCGAACTCAGAAGTGCTCCCCGTCGACTCCAGTAATCCTGCTCGCCGCGAGGAGTACGCGGAGTCGACGGGGGAGCCTGCCTGCCGGGTGTGGACCGTGGTAAGTTCGAAGTAAGGTATGTCGACTTCAGCTACGTTATTCACGTAGCTGAAGTTGCGTACCTTACTTCGATTTGGGGGTTTAGTGTAGACCAAGCCTGATCTTCAACATTTTATATCTGGATCCACACTTAATACTATTTTCTTGCCCAGGCTCCTTAAGCCACTTCCTACAAGGCCTCTATACTCCCAGTTGATGGTAACACTGCTTTATCTTCTTGGGCACCATAAAGTGGTCATAAAGTGTCACAGTCACAGCAAAGATTATACTCCTGGTTGTAGGGACACCAATATATTCAAGAGGTGAAACACCTCAAATTTAGATCATAATAAAAATAACCATTACAGAAACGATTCAGGTAAAGAAAAAACATTATGTGGAGACTTTACAATGGCCAATTAACATTTGTGATAATGGATATTTGCATAAATAAAATTTAAGACGTGTTCTCAAATTATTAGAAAGTATTTTGGGTTTGCATAAACTCATGTTCAAATCTACTCATGCCTTTTACTTCCTTTTGTAATACTAGGAATAAGTGTCCTATAAGCTATAAAATGTACCCAACCTTTTTTTTCTCTCTTTGGGTTTCCTTTTCTTTGGTGATGTTGTCGGTCCATCTTTATCTTCATTCCCTTTTTTCCTTTCCTTTTTAATTTGCTTCTGTTTCTGTTTTTCAATCCCCTCTTCATCCTCTGAACTGCTCTCTGTTTTCTTGGTTTTAAGTTTAGGAATTTTCTTTGGTGGCTGCAGATTAATTCCTGCATCTGCGGTCCAGTCCGAGTAATCACTGGAATATTCACTAGAGTTGGTGAATGAAGGGACAAAGGAAGGAAGGGAATTAAAAATCAAGCAAAGAGCAAATTGCTTCACAAAGCAAATTCAGAGTAAACTCCTTTATACAATATTAATATAACCCCAGACAAGATTGTTAAGATTGGAGTTAAGGCTGTAATAACAACACTATTTAAAAGTTGTAGTTAAAAAAGGAATAGAAACCCATAATATTTTAAGAGACAGTATATTAGGACTTCAGTTTAAAACATTATAGGATGTTCGGAAATTCATATTTACAGTTCTGCCAACAATTTTAACTTCGTCCCTTTACTGGTTTTTAGCCTCTTTTACCAGCGGAACTGCACATAAATTCACAGATTTTAAAGTCATAGTGAGACCACTGATCATCTAGTTTGACCTATGGCATATAACCCAGGACAAAGAACCTCACTCAATTTTTACATCAAGCCCAAAACTACAGTATGAGCAAGAGCGTATCTTTCAGAAAGATCTGTACTCTTGATTTAAGCACTTCAAGTGATTGATAATCCACCATATCCCTACGTAAACTATTCCAGTGGTTAATTACCTTCACTGTTAAAAATGTACACCTTTTTTTAGTCTGAATTTGTCTAGTTTCAGTTTACAACCAGTGCATCTCATTATGTCTTTTTCTGCTAGATTAAAGAGTTTTCTGGTATCCGAAATCTCCCCCATGTAAGTACTTACATACTATAATCAAGTCACCTCTTAAGCTTTTCATAGAAACTAAATAGATTGAGCTTCTTAAGTCTCACTATTAGACATGTTTTACCAGACATCTAATCATTTTCTAAACTCTTTCTAATTTTTCAACATCCTTTCCAAAGACTGGACATCAGAAGTGCACACAGTATTCCAGTAATGACAGGTTTCAGAGTAGCAGCCATGTTAGTCTGTATCCGCAAAAAGAACAGGAGTACTTGTGGCACCTTAGAGACTAACAAATTTATTTGAGCATAAGTTTTTGTGGGCTACAGCCCACTTCATCGGATGCATGCAGTGGAAAATACACTAGGAAGATATATATATATATATACACACACAGAGAACATGAAACAATGGGTGTTACCATACACATTATAAGGAGAGTGGTCAGTTAAGGTGAGTCTTTATCAGCAGGAGAGAAAAAGAACTGTTGGTAGTGGTAATGAAAATGGCCCATTTCCAGCAATTGACAAGATGATGTGAGGAACTGTAGGGGGAAAAAATAAGCATGGGGAAATAGTTTTACTTTGTGTAATGGCCCATCCACTCCCAGTCTTTATTCAAGCCTAATTTAATGGTGTCCAATTTGCAAATTAATTCCAATTCAGCAGTCTCTCGTTGGAGTCTGTTTTTAAAGTTTTTTTGTTGTAATATTGCGACTTTTAGGTCTGTAATCGAGTGGCTAGGGAGATTGAAGCGTTCTCCAACTGGTTTTTGAATGTTATAATTCTTGATGTCTGATTTGTGTCCATTTATTCTTTTACGTAGAGACTGTCCGGTTTGGCCAACGTACATGGCAGAGGGGCATTGCTGGCACATAACACACTGGTAGATGTGCAGGTGAACGAGCCTCTGATAATGTGGCTGATGTGATTAGGTCCATCATAGGACCTAATCACGTCAGCCACACTATGATGGTACCATCTAGTCTGACACAGGCCATAGAACTTCCCCAAAAGAATATCTGAAGCCTATCTTTTAGAAAAACATCCAATCTTCAAACATAAGAACTGCCGTGCTCGGTCAGACCGATGGTCCATCTAGCGCAGTATCCTGTCTTCAACAGTGGCCAATACCACAGCTTTGGGAAAGCATACAGAACAGGGCAGTTGGGAGTGATTCACCCCTCTTCCTCTCCCACTTTCTGGCAGTCAGAGGTTTAGATTCACCCCAAGAATGGGGTTGAATCCCTGACCATCTTGGCTAATAGTCATTGATGGACCTGTCCTCAATGAACTTACCCCATTCTTTTTTGAACCCAGTTATACTTTTGGCCATCACAACATCCCAGGGCAACGAGTTCCACAGGTTAATTCCTCTTCTTTGCATGCTGCCTATTAATTTCACCAGTGACCCCTAGTTTTTGTATTGCGGGAAAGGGTAAATAAAACTTCTCTATTCTCTTTTTCCACACCACTCAAACTGAACAGCCCTAATCTTTTTAGTCTCTCCTCATATGGAAGCCGTTCCATACTCTTGATCATCTTTGTTGCCCTTCTCTAAACTTTCCCAGTCCCGGTATATATATATATTTTTTACATAGGATGCCCAAAACTGGACACAGTATTCAAGGTATGCATGCACCATGGATTTATTAAGTGGCATAATGATATTTTCTGCCTTTTCTATCCCTTTCCTAATACTTCCTAACACACTGTTAGCTTTTGTGATCATTGCAGCACATTAAGCTGAAGTTTTCAGAGAACTGTCCATCTCTACTAGATCTCTTTCCTGAGTGGTAACAGCTAATTTAGAACCTATCATTATATATGTGTAGTTGGGATTATTTTTTTCTAATATGCATTACTCTGCACTTATCAATGCTGAATTTCATCTGCCATTTTGTTGCCTAGACACCTAGTTTTGTGAGCTCTCCCTGTAGCTCTTCACAGTCAGATTTGGATTTAACTATCTTGAAAAACTGTGTATCACCTGCAAACTTTGCCACTTCACTGTTCACTCCCTTTTCCAGATCATTAATGAATATGCTGAACAGCACAGGTCCCAGTACAGATCCTTAGGGGAAACTACTGCTCACCTCTCTCCATTGTGAACAATAACCATTTATTCCTGCCCTTTGTTTCCTATCTTTTAACCAGTTACTGATCACTGAGAGAACCTTCCCTTCTAATCCCATGAATACTTAGTTTTCTTAAGAGCCTTTGGTGAGGGACTTTATCAAGCCAAGTACACTAAACTGGCTAGATCACCCTTACCCACATGCTTGTTGACACCCTCAAAGAATTTTAATAAATTTGTGAGGCATAACTTCCCTTTACAAAAGCTGTTTTGCTTTGTGTAGTGTGGAAGTGGGTTGAGGGCATAGGAATGTACAAGGCTGGCTTTGTTTCTGTGTGCTGGATATTTCCCTGTGCAGTTAAGCAGTACGGGTGTTGCTGCACAACGAGATTTCATGGGAATCCTCCAGAGCGATCTCTAGGAAACTTTCCTGGAGGGTACAGGGCAATCCTCTGCCAAAGGTTCCTTGGCAGAGCTGCTTTGTTCCTTCCCCCATTGAAGGAAACTTTCCCATGCCATTCTGCAATCACTTGAGCAGGGACCAAAGTGGCATACAGGTGAGAAGCATAGGGGGACTAGGTTGGAAGCTGCAAGCGTGCAGCAGATGCACCCTTGCTTCGTTGTTTCTTCTCAAGAATGAGATATCTGTTACAATGACAATATGCTAAATTTTCCTGCCCTTTTCCACAGGCGGGAGTGCCTCTGGAAAGGGGCAGGAAAATTTAGACTACTGTCCCTAGTTAACTGCACCATGGCCTTTTCATATTGCTTTTCTACTCATGTACAATGCCCCCAGCCCCGAAGTAAACTCACCATGCTTGGGGTGTTCACTAACATGTGTGCTTGTCAAGGGTCAGTGAGAAAGTGATTGGTATGTTACTAAAGGTGTATTTTAATGGACTATTTCAATGCTGTGCGTGTACTTAATCATGCTTCTGTGTTTTGTTCCTTGTGCTTCTGCAGATGTGGCCTTCAGAGGCACCATCTACACACCATCAGAGCATCTCCACCACATAAGAAAGCACCCAACATGGAACAAAGAGGACATATTCCGGGAGCTGCTGCAATAACACTGCTCTACAGCCAAAATGCTTCTGAAATAAATGTAGTCAAATTTCACTAATTCTGGGTCACTGAGAACGAAAATGATGCTTAAAATTGTTGATTGGCTCTAGTTTTCAAGATATGCTATTGGGTCAGTATATACGACCCTTGACTTGGGAATGGCAGAGGATAAGTGAGTTATAAAGGGAAGAGATCTCAATTTAAACCAGAAATGACTAAAATACATCTTTGACTGGATCTATCAATAAATCTATGACTGGGTTTGGACAGTACTTGCTTTTTAGGCAAAACAATGAATGATGCAATCTAAAGCTGGTATTGCGTCATACAAAACAACAACCACAACAACCTACC